CAGAAGTGGTCCAGGGCTCGATCGCTGCGGTCGAGTTAATCGAGTTAGTCCAGTTCGGAGTTAACGGTGGGGCGTGACGTTCAAGCAGCCTCTCAGTGAACTGAACATGATCCCGGATAAGATACCATCACCGTCAACACCAAACACAGCATCATCCTGAAGGGTCTGTCTCTCGGCCATCAGTTCAACGGTCTCACATCAGCGCGAAGAAAATCTCCCGCCGACAGGAGAGCTTCGGCGTTATTTCTACCGCCGACACTTATACGTGAAACTTCTGGCGATCGTCATACGCGATATTAGTGCTGCACGGCAATACTCTTACTCCAAAACCTATGCCGGTAAGTACGTCTGCTGCAAAAACTTCTGCAGTATTAACTTATAGACGACATTACTTCTACTGCAAATAATTTTACACGGCAAAAGTGCTGGACTATTCTGCTAGTGCTGTCAGTGCTTATACTTCAAACACTAATGCCACGAGACATAAACGATCTAGAGTAAAATTTTGCTTGAAAAAAATGATACCTGTCACGACTTGTACCACCAATACTTCTACGCGACATCAGTGTTACACCGCGAAATTTGTACCTCAAAACTTACATCAGTCATCACTTCTACTGCAAAAATGTGCACGATTCTTCTTTACATGCGACGTCACACCGCATCTTGTACTAAGCGAGGTGGGTCGGAACGACACGGGATGGTACGGGACAAAAACGGAACGGAACGGAGCGGGACAAGATGGAACTGAATGGAACAGGGCAAAACAGCGCGAGGCGGACGGGCGGAACAGAACTGGACATGGCAGGGTGATAAAATGATAGGACAAGGTAGGCAGCAGGTCAGGTCATAGCAAGACAGGATTGGACTGGGCCTGTCATAGATAGATGACAAGATCTGTCTTATCTTGCTTGCCCTTTGTCTTTTCTCGGTCATACCGTCTGCTCTCTGGCCCTCTACCCTAAGTAGCTTGTACTCCGAAGTAACCTGTGCTATGCCGTGCCTGTTCTCCATACCGCATTGCCTTTTGTCATATCTCGCCCCTGTCCTGCGTTGCCTTCAGTCCCTCTCTGCCCTACTCCCCGCCCTGTTCTTGGTCCATTCCTGTCACCGGTCCTGCCCGGTCCGATATTTAGCCCTTTGCGATGTGCTGTGCTGTGCTCTCCTGCCTTTCTTTGTATTGTCCTTGCTCCCACCGTAGGGCGAGGCAGAGGACAGAGAGCTCTGCCCCAGGCAGCTCTTTATCCTAGACAAGCAACTCCTCCATCTTACGGCTTTCCTCTTACCAGCCCAGCTGTGACATCTGTACTCATGTTGTCCCTAGTCCTCTTTCCTGTCCCGTGTCTAACCTCAGTGCTGTCCTCCGTGCAGTCCTTCGGCCTATCCCCTTCGTTGTTTGCATTTTTGTTACGCCGTCGGCCGAAGTCGTATCACACCTTGGTCTGTCCGCGACCACTCTATCTTCTGCCCTGTTTTCTGTGATATTTTCTGTCCTGACCTCTGTCCCTTACCCGTTCCGTTTTCTGCTCTGACCTCTTTCCTCGGTCTGGTGCTGTTCCGCCCTCTCCTGTCTCGGACACGGCACAGCACGATCCCACTCTGCATGCCCTGTATCTGGTCATACTGCATGTTAGGTGGGGAAATGCCATTTGGCCATGTCGTTAGACTTCTCAGCGGCTGTCGTTATGATATTAATTGACGTATTATGATTAATCACGTTAAGAGTCAAACGGCCTGCTTTTTGCGTTTAAAGGACGTGTCCATTAACACCTCTTTTGCTGAAGCCAAAATATTTTCTTCCATGCAGGTGTCAGGTGGAATTATATGCTTCTTTATTACCGAATAAAACAGTGTCCCAGGTGCCCAAGCTTTGGTGGAACTCGCGCAGTGTTATAGGCATCGCAGTACATAAGGTCAGTACGCTCCCTCAGTCACACCACATAATGGACGTGACTTCACCCATATCAGCTCCAGCCCCGATTACCGCAAGACATTTCAGCAAAGCAGGCGATATGAAATTGGGCGAAAACTCATGCTGCAGCAAAAAATGGGGCGAAAACTCACGCTGCATAAAAACAGTCGTAGATGGCAAAACACATGGATATCCAGCAGAGGCGGACAATCTCGCAATGAAAAATTCGTGTTGGCGGTACGGACGGCTAGCAATTAATTGCATTACATCATTTTGTCATTTTTTTAGCATGAGATTAAGCAAATGTCGTAGAAGCTATTAACGTCGGCCGTGGCAGTCATTGTAGTAATATTTTTTTATTTTTACCGCAATTCTTTTTTATTTATTTAATTATTTTAAAAATTATGTTGTTATACATTACTTATATATATATATATATATATATATAGATAGATAGATAGATAGATAGATATATATATATATAATTAATATAATAAATTATAAATAAAAAATTATTTTAAAAATATGCGTAATTTCGCAACGCGATGGAGTGCCACCTCATGTCTGATTTGGCCCGTCCAAGTTCTCTAATTTGTGGGTCTCTCCAGAGCTTGTTGAAGTTCCGACTGTGAGAAGAACTACTGACGCGTATTATTTTTGAAGCAGGAGTTGTGTCACATAATGCTAATGTCGAGCAGACATGTTGGCGGCGGGGGTAATGTTGCACGTGTGTAAAAACCACAGAAGACGTAGCAGTAACAAAAGTAACGAGAGAAATAGTGTTTGAAGGCACATTTTTTGTCGTGCAGCCCAAATGATGCACGCAAGTACTGGCAGAAGGATTAAGATCGGGTAGAAGTAAACAAGGAAGTTTTTGCAGTAGAACTACTGCCAGTAGAACTACTACTGAACTACTGCTAAGTTGTAAAAGAATAGTCCCGTCTGAAGCGCTATTGCCGTGCATAGGTCTTTGCAGCGGGAGTAATATGGACTATTAGTGAGTACTGCAGAAGTTTCTGCAGTAGAATAAACGTCACGCAGAATCCACGCCGTCGCAGTTCTGTCGGTAGCACTATTTTCAGCATCACTAATGTCGTAACACTAAATGCCGCAGATCGGTCCTGGTCTGAAGCTAAGGGTGAGTGGCAGGTTGACGTGTGTTTTACCGCAACGCGGCGCACCATCTCGTCACTTTGTCGCTGCCCAAAAATGTGACAATAAACACCCCCTCACTTGCCAAAGGAGACAAAGCCAGAAACAGACCGGACGTAATCCAAAGATCACGTTCGACACCGCAGAATGTCGTCCAGCAGGTCCTGGTGAAAAAGAGGCCACAAACAAACCTAGAGCAGCTGCGGAAGGCACTCAAAAAGACGTAATCCAATACCGGCCCCGCTGGGACGAGCAAAACTTTGGATGGCACGCCTCACCGTGCCGGTTTACGAATAAAAGCCCGAGAACATTGCAATAATCAAGTCTTTTTACTCAATTTAAAAGACAGATTACCATTCCCATACCATGATTACAAGCGTATTACATGATTGCGGACGAGGCAGTGGACCAAGTTAGTCTTGAAGTCCGGTGATGGGCAATTGTATAGTATCAGTCGCCCGTCCCGGAAGTGCCGCCGGAACGTGCAGAAGGGTCTTTGCTTGGCTTCTATCTTTGCAACCATTGATCGTACCGCCATGACATTTTCAGCAAAAGGAGCGCAAGTTGTAAACGTCATGCAGGAGTGCTTTTAAAGCACTTGGCTGCAGACTGTTTTCTCAGGCGCCATATGTCTTCAATGTTACAAGAACCCGCCATTTCATCCATCAAAATCATTAACATGAAAGCCAACAAACCTTCAAGTCGCGAACGGCCTGAACCGGCCGCCGGCGAGCAGAACGGATTCAGACCTCGGTTACGCAATAGGCTCGGATTGAAGCGCCGAGCGTTGTCAGACGTCCAGGCGACCTGTGACTAACAATGGACTCGGATTGAAGCGCCGAGCGTTGTCAGACGCCCAGGCGACCTGTGACTAACAATGAGCTCGGATTGAAGCGCCGAGCGTTGTCAGACGTCCAGGCGACCTGTGACTTACTGAAGGAGCAGAACACGAACAGTCCTGCTGTCAATAGGATGGGTCCATGCGTGCAGACTGTCACGCTCAATCCTGCGCGAACCATGGGCCTGTCCATCTTCGGCCTTGTTTAGGATTGACGCCGGATCTCGACAGCCAGCGCAGGTCGAGCGTAAAGCAGCCCGTACGGTGTGGCCGAACGTACCAAATGCAGGTTGTCAAACACTTGGGGCGTGCCAAAAAGAGACGGAAGCCACGTTCTGAATTTCGCACCAAATATTTAACGCGGAGGCCTAAACCGAGACGAGTTTGTCCTGAAAGCTACATAGAGACACAACCCAGCTTATTGTGACCAGAATCTACCCAAAATATGCTCACCAGTACAAGATACAGGATATTAACAGCACCAATACACGATATTGTCAGGACCAGTACGAGATATTCTACGCTTATTTCACATCTGGCAGGGATTGCGGGTTTTCAGTCATAATCATTTTTCTCCAGGCCCTCAGCTGTTGCACATCCACAGCCGGTGAGGTATACAAGACTACAGAGGCCCAAGCAACTTCATGGCCAGACAAGTGACCACAACAGGCGCAGAGTAAACATAATCAATTCAAGGACGGAGCCATGCCCAGCTCCTCGGGTTCGCTCGCTGGGCTCAATTCCCGTGCTTCTGCAGGGCCGCTCCTGATGCGGCGTCAGCCGGCCAGGCGGGGGAATCTTCACCATCTTTGGCTGCCGAATGGCCGCAACAAGCCCCAATTGGGCGTCGTCGCGACATATTACTCTCAATCAGCGCCTGACTGCAGTCCACCGCCGCTGCCGCCGACGGGCTCCCGTCAGTGTGTGCCGGCGCCGGCCGCCCGCAGTGCCAGGCTGTGGCGTCAGTGGAGCCTCCCTCGGACGGCGCAGGGGACCACGGTGGCGTCTCGGTGTCTCGTGCTGTGCGTCGCGGCAGGCTTTGCGACCCCTCGCTGTGGTTTGGGTTGGGGTCGCGAGCCCTCTGCGCGTGTCGTGTTACGAGTTGTTGTGCTTCGCTGCGTGCCGTTGCGATAATCGGGTTCCTTTCCGCCGTATCGCTGCACAAATAACGGCTCTTCCCGTATGTCACTGTATGAGCCTCTGCTCCGCGCTGTGTACCACTGCAGGAGCCTCAGCTCCGCCTTGTGTACCACTGCAGGAGACTCGGGTTCGCCCTGTGCGCTACTGCAGAAACCTCGGCTCTGTACTGTGTACCACTGCAGGAGCCTCAGCTCCGCCCTGTGTGCTACTGCAGGAGCCTGGGCTCTGTGCTGTGTACCACTGCAGGAGCCTCGGCTCTGCGCTGTGTACCACTGCAGGAGCCTCGGCTCCGCCCTGTGTGCTACTGCAGGAGCCTCGGTTTCGCCCTGTACGCTACTGCAGAAACCTCGGCTCTGCGCTGTGTACCACTGCAGGAGCCTCGGCTCCGCCCTGTGTGCTACTGGAGGAGCCTCGGTTCCGCCCCGTGTGCTATTGCAGGAGCCTCGGCTCCGCCCTGTGTGCTATTGCAGGAGTCTCGGCTCCGTCCCGTATGCTATTGCAGGAATCACGACCCCTCTCATTGCGTAACGCTGTGTGCGCCGTTGTCCCCCACTGTGCACCAATGCTGCATTTACGTGGTGTTGCTGCTCCGCTCATTAGTTTGGACTGAGAAAGGTATGTTTGCTACACGAAGATTGAATTCGGTCTTGCCCAATGATGATGAAATTAGCTTGAAAAACTGTAGCGCGAGCGCGATAATGACGTTCCTGCGGAAGACTCTATTAAAAGGCGTAAAAAGTCGAGTGCGCAAATGGAGCCAAATCACTCAATCCGTTCCTTTCCGGCAGTCGCGCAACGATGGAGTCACGTCAAGCACATCAGAAGACGGTTTTGCCGCGTAAGCCAGTAACATAATTCATACCGAAAAAATGCAGCAGAATACCCCTAGGAAAACTTCTTCTAAGATGGAATTCGGACAGGCTTTGGCGGCATTCTGTAAAGATTTTCAAAATCCAAAGGCAGCATGGATCAAGGTGATATTTTTCTTTTTAACTGGAGGTAAGGATGCATTTAATATTCACAAATGTTATTATCGGTATAAACGGGAAAGAGTCTTAGCTTCCTATTGGTCGGCATTACGAGTTTTCAAACTGAAAATAACGGGTGTTTGACATCCCTGGTAGGATTGGTTAAACGGAGATATCAAGCAAACCTCGATATATATATATATATATATATATATATATATATATATATATATGTCTGATTAAAAATAACTGCTGACTCAGCATTGACGAGCTTTTTGTTGCATCGTTCTAGTTTCCGGGCCTTGGACTTGGCATCATCGCTTAGATTAAAGATGGTTCGCACAAAATTACTCATATATTCATCGCTCCTTCCATTCTAACGTTTCGAGATCCTATCTCATCGTCGGAGAATACTAAATGGCACAAGAAATAAGTTTTGAGTTTTAAAGGATGAAAAATTGTGCTCTACTGTTGGAAATCATCTATTGATACGGAGAACAAAAATGAAACATAACTAATTGAAGTAAGACAGAATCCTATTTTCCTTTTCATACATGTAAGAAACACTCATAATGGGAACACTACAAAGACACAATGGGAACACTATTGCCGCAACCACATCAGAAATGCTTACCGCTCACCACCTAGTAGTTCAAGAACTGTGCAATAATTTGTCTTTCTTTTCGAGGCCCAGACGAACTCTCTCCGGTTATTTTCGGATTACATTCGGCACTGATAAGAATCAGACAGATCTTGGTGAACAACGGTTTTTCAAATTCTGACGTTGAAAAAGAGACACAACGGCACATGACAAGACACTTTGACGGCAAACCAAGGCAAGACATCCAACCAACCGTCAAACTGCATTACCAAAATCAAATGACATCTGCCCACAAACAAGACGAAAAAGCTTTACGGGAAATTATCTCTCGACATGTTAAAGGCAAAAACGACCACAAAATAAACAATGTCATTTACTATCGTAATAAGAAAATATCTAACTTTCTTATGAAAAACAGCCAAAACAAACCCGACAAACTAAAATGCACCAATGTAGTATATCAATTCCAATGCAACATCGAAGGCTGCAAACTTCGTTCCATACACTACATTGGTGTGACCACAACGACTCTCTCAAGACGCCTGACACTGCACTTACGTGACGGGGCACCTCTGGACCACATGCGACACGAACACGACATGACATTGGCACGACAACAACTGACAGACAGCACTGACATTTCACGGACGTGCAGTGACAGAAGACGCCTTCAAATTTGGGAAAGCATATTCATTAACGAACTATCTCCGGCCTTAAACAGACAGACAAATTCTTGTACAACTCTTGAACTACTAGGTGGTGGGCGGTGAGTACTTCTGATGCGATTGTGGCAATAGTGTTCCCATTGTGTTTTTGTAGTGTTCCCATTATGAGTGTTTCTTACATGTATGAAAAGGAAAATAGGATTCTGTCTTACTTCAATTAGTTGTTTCATTTATGTTCTCCGTACCAAAAGATGTTTTCCAACAGAAGTGCACGATTTTTCATCCTTTAAAACTCAAGACTTATTTCTTGTGCCATTTAGTCTTCTCCGACGATGAGATAGGATCTCGAAACGTTAGAATGGAAGGAGCGATGAATGTATGAGTAATTTTGTACGGGCCATCTTTAATCTAAGCGATGATGCCAAGTCCAAGGCCCGGAAACTAGAACGATGCATCAAAAAGCTCGTCAATGCTGAGTCAGCAGTTAATTTTAATCAAACATGCATCAAAGAAAGGATTCTGCCAAAATATTCCAACATCATGCATATATATATATATATATATATATATATATATATATATATATACACCTATGTATATATGTGTGGGGGGATATGTATGTATGAGTGTGTGTGTATCCATAGCACATGGCGTTCAAAAGCAGTGACCGTGAATGTGGCAATTACTCGTTATCATAAGCAATGCCTGGAATGTCGAACATTCTCATAATCTTTGCAATGATTGCTCGATATCTCAGTTTAACCACTGAATGTCAGATATTTCCAGGATGGAACTCATAATCTCTGAACATTATTACTTCTTTCGCTACACCGGCATTCACACCAAGTAGTGACAGCGGCAGCTTAAAGTGCTTTACAATCTTAAGTATTAGGTCATGCAACATAAAGTTACACCGCAGCCACTCGGCTACCTTTGCCCGGGCTGCCGCTATACACGAAACTCTGAATGCGGCCACTGCGCAACTCCACCCGTTTCCACCGCCCCACATGCAGCTCCTGTTGCAGCGACGGCATGCCTGTACCCGTTCCTGCCACTCTACATGAAGTCGCTGGGCCTGCGTCTCAGCGAGGTGGCCGTCATCCTCAGTCTCACCCCAGTGTTCGCAGTCACCGGCACCTATCTGGCCGGCAAGGTGGCCCTCAAGACCTCCAACGTCAAGGTGACTCTCTCCCCTCTCTCTCTCTCTCTCTCTCTCTCTCTCTCTCTCTCTCTCTCTCTCTCTCTCTCTCTCTCTCTCTCTCTCTCTCTCTCTCTCTCTCTCTCTCTCTCTCTCTCTCTCTCTCTCTCTCTCTCTCTCTCTCTCTCTCCGCTTCTCTCCCTGTGATGTCCCTCGCCTCCAACCTCCAATGACCTGAGAGTAGGCTATGACGAGTGACGGCGCTGCCGCTGCCGCAGGCGCTGCTGACGGCGCTGACGGCACTCTGCGGCCTGCTGCCGCTGCTGCTGCTGACGGTGCCGGCCGGACGCACGGTCAGCCCGCTGCCGCACTTCAACATCACGCTCACCATCTTCTGCGGCATCACCTCACACCCGGAGATGTTCCTGCTGCCGGTGCCGCCCGTCTCAGGACCCTCCTGCCACCTGCCTGAAGGCGTCGGCGTCGTTCGCGAGATTCGGGTGAGCGACCGGTGACCTTGTGGTGAGGAGCCGGCAGGGTTCGGATGCGTGACCGGTTTGTTTCGATGAGGACAAGTGAGCTTTGTGTGAATGACACAGGTGAGTTGGGTGTTCATTGATCAGCGAGATGTGTGTGAGCGACCGGTGCAGGAGCGTTCCTGAAGAGGTTTAGGTGACCGGTCACGGACCGCGCCTCCTACATCGGCCAATGGCAGGGCGCCACGTCACGGGGGGGCGGTCCTCCCACCACAGCCCACTACACCTTCACCACAAGCATCAGCCGTGTACTGGATACTGATAAAAGCAAAAAATGCAAAGCAAACACCAAGCAAAACACAACAGTAACGGCGGCAGACGTCACAACCCCCAACAAGTAATGAGTGGCAACAAACCGATCAGGTGCGGGACACTGACGCAGTTTGTAACGGCTCCCGTCGCCGGTCCGAGACGGCACCTCAACCCGATGAACCGAATCATCAGCGGAGGGCATTATAGGAGCACGTGGTACAATGGGTAACAACCTCGAACAAATGGATTATGGCTGGCCGTTGCCCTCGCACCGTACCATGTCGGACGTGGGCCATGTGCTGCTGTATCAGCTGTCCGCCGTCTAACAATGCGGTCACCTTTACAACACCTGCCTCCAATACCACGCCTGACAACCATGTTCGCCCTTCAGCTCCCTGCAGCCTACCAACAGACTTTTCCCAAACTGTGCTGAGGGACCAGACTTGTCTGGGTTTCACTGCCAAGGCAACTGTAGGGTAGAGTCACTCACGGGTAAGATTTCCTCAATTCATCTGTTACCATTGAGGCTTTGCCCATAGTCGGCCGTTTGCTATCCCTGACCAGAGATGCAATCCGTTATCTACCCGTTTACCTCTTTCCAGGTCTGCGATGTTAAATTTTGGAAGATTTTTAATAGCGTTTATATCCCAAACCTACTCTTTTGTATTGATGTTTGTAAAAGTAGCGTGAACGGAGCTAATTATAGCCAAAATTAGCGTGAGCAGCAACATTGTATAGCATGCATTGGACAATCTACCAGACATATCGTAAATGTTTCACCCATACTCGTATCCATACCCACACTGAAAGATTTCCCCAAATCTGCACCCAACCACTCCGTTGTCCACATCACAAGAGTACGCATGGATCTACGGCGACCGTGAAGTCCTCTAGCCCACACGCTTCCGTTAGCCACTCCTGATCAGTTCTATACATGCGTTACCCATCTGTTTGCTTTGTTTCAGAACTTAAGCTCTAATTGATGAGAGAGTTCTACGAAAGTTTCCATCCATCGCGATTACTCAGCTGGCTGAAAAGTTTGCCTTCCGATTCTCCAAGCCGTGGCGGGTTGGCTTCGATTCGTTAATGCACTTGCCGCTTGCCTCTGACTGGGCTGCCCCGCGGCTTGTGACAGCGGTCCAGGCGATGTTAGAAAGCAGGAAGAATCGTGCCGATTATTGTGCCATGTCAAGCCTTCGCTGATGATGTCGATTGTGCTGCTCATACTAAGATTAAGTCGTTGAGCAGGAATGTTACGCTCGGATGGGGATCGGCGCTTACGCAACAACCACTGCTTGGCGCGGGCACTGACCGCGAAAAATCGTCTAATCAAAAGGTTAAAGCGAGAAGCAGGAAGCTTTCAAGAAGCTGTGGAACATTTAGACTGTTTTCCAACACGGCACACATAAAGATGATATTCGACTGGCTATTCTCTTGAAAGGCGTCTCCAGTTTGGGGTATATTTCAAAAACGTACTTTACTGAAACCTCGGGAATAGTTCCGTCCAATGACAGCACTGGGCACTGCCACTGCAGCGCGGTCAAGACGTAGTAAGGATATTAATTTTAAGGATATTTAAATTATCTTCTTGTCCAAATTCGCTGCAACGCCTTGTAACAGCAATGCGCTTCATCCCTGAAGTCGCGACCACACTAACATGGATCATGTGAAACGCTCAGTCCCCAAGCCAAAGTGGCTTCGAAAAGAGTCACTATGGTAAACGCCACGGAGAAGAGATCAAAGCCATATTATGACGTTTCGTTGAATTCGCGGGAAAATAACTTCATGTTTGCATCTATTTTGTCTGATCATAATATTTTGATTTTTTCGTAGCATTTAGCACACCAACATTTTGACAAATAAGTATGTTGCAAACACTACAGAACACACACGGTGGAGAAGCAAGGCAAATGAAATGCATTGCTTTCATGGAGGTGAGCAGAGAGTACAATGAGATTTTTCCGCAGGCTCGGGTGCCTCAAATCAAAATCTGAGCTATGCAGACGGATTTCAAGGAAGCTGGTGTAATGGATTGAATCGTATGCGTCTGATGCAGCAACAAGTGAAAGGCACTAAAAAGGTGGGATACTCATTTTGGTGCGAGGTCTTAACCGTCCGTCAACACAGATAGGCTTATGTTCATGACTCATAATTCAAATTTTATCCAAAGCCGAAGCTGATGCCATGTGTTTAACATGACACAAGGCCAAAGTCAGTCGTAAAAAATGGGGCAAACGCCGTTGGAGCCATCTCGAAGCCATTGGAGAAAAACTGCGGCATAGTGAAGCCGAAGCCGAAGTCTGTATCGCTACCATGCCTTCCATCATGCAGCATTAACGTTGCAACGTTAAAAATAAAAACCGTTGCAGCGTAAACGAGCGCAGGCTTGTCCGATTTAGCGTCATTTTTCGAAAACTGGAATATGCGAACTTGTTCCGCAGCCTCTAAGATTGTGTGAGTTTGGCGGTGTTGGTACTGATGAGATCAGAACCAGCAAAATAATGGGAAAATTTATCCTGCCAACGCATCTTTACACTTTACTCATGAACAATCGTTTTAGCCAGTGGCTTCGTGCCTTTTTTACGTGAAGCCGAATCGAGAGTCGGTGACTTCAAACACCTGAACACACGAAGCGGAAGGCAAGTCAGTAGCTTTGAACTGGGGGAAAGCGAAGCCAAAGCCGACCCCACCAGTTCAAAACCACGAGGCTTAAGCCAAAGCCGAATCTAGTGTATGATTTTTTTACGAGACTAAAACTGTTCTTGTGTATGCTAGAACTACATGGCATCGGAAATATCATCAGGATTTTACGGAGTGGCTGGGGCGATGTTAAGCATTACGAATGGAAAAGTTGTTGAGACTAGCATGTGTTAGCTTGTCTCATGTGTTAGTATGCATACAACGCTTCAACGTTTCGGTCAGTCAGTCTTACGGCCGTCATCAGGTGCAATTGGTCTTGAGCGTGACCAACTGGTTTTGCCTTTCAGCTATGTACATGCCGCAGCCAAAAAAAGTTGTGTGGTGAGTATAGTGACAAGATGGGTACGCGTGTATTTGAAACATAAAGTCGCAATTGTAGTCGAAAAGTCACCATGACGAAGCCGAAGACAGCACTTCAAAGTCGCGTGGAGCCAAATCCAAACCCACAATGCAAACATTGCTCGAAGCCGAAACCGAAGCCAGATGCTAAAAAAGCACAAGGCCAAATCCAGAAATGAGAACTGGCAAAAACCAGAGATGAACATGGAGCCACTAGAGAAAACCTGATGCTCGGCGAAGCCAAAGCAGAAGTCGGCTTCATCCCCATACTTGTCCGCATGTCGTATGATCAAACGCCTTCTGACATTCAAAGTCGCGTGAGTGACGGTCATCGTCTGACGCGCGTCATTAGTGCAAACATTCGATTGTTGCCACTTACGTTCCTACCCCTTCAGGTTCGACCGGGTGTCAGAAAAAATCAGGAATATTTTAGGGTAAGAAGGAGGGTCCTGTAAGAAAACTAAGGTAATCTCTCACAACGCAACTGCGAAAAATAATACCGGAATTATGATTGGTAACAAATTTGGCATCACTCAACCGCTGACTACAGCACGTTTTGTTACGATTGTTGCAGATTTCAACGCGAGGAAGGGATAGTTCTTTCCAATATCCGTGAAACCTATATGCCTTAAGCACAGGGGCTGCACGGAGCACCCCAGATGTGGAGTGCATCCCAGATCCCAGGCGATACAAAGGCACCCAGGCACCTGCTTGGTTACGGCTCTGGTCTGAACGCAACTCAGAGACCACTATTTTACCGCAATGATGATATCCAATTTGGTTAGATTTGAATTAGAGTCCTATCCGGTGGTGATAATTCCAGGGCTGTGGAATGAAGGGGGTGGACGATGGTGGGGAAAAGCTGCCTGCTTCTGGGAGCAACCGACGGCACGAAGCCCATACAGGGACTCTTATTCAGGACATGTGCTTGCCGGTCGGACGGGCCCCGCCAGGTGGCACTTGAGCCCACTCACGGTCGGCGCGTGCAGTTTGCCCCGAACAAACAGGCAAGCAGCTCCGTCACGAGGATGCTGGGTGAAGCAACTCTCAACCATTCTCAATATCTTCTGTCACATCTCCGCCTGTGATGAACCGCAGCAACCCCAGATGAACACACCCGAAGGGCAGTGGCCGTGCCGCACCCTCACTCCCCGAGCACGACAGCGCTGCCGGCTCCGCCGGGGCCGCCCACGGCCGGCGCGGTGGTGAGCTCGGTGCCGCGCGCGCGCCCCGCGTTGACCGCGGTCCCCTTGCCGGCCAGGTGGGCGCGTGCGGTCACATGTGCGCGCGGCCGCTTAACCCGCCGCCGGTGCGCTCGGCTCAAGACGAGGAGGAGCAGCTGTACGTCCGGGCGCGAGCCATCGAGCTCGACTCGCGCTTCTTCATGCCCGACTCGAACGTACCCACCTGGGACTGCAGCCGACAGTCTTCGACAGGTCAGCACGTCATGGGAGACAGTGGTGTACTCAGCTGCTAAGCAGCAAAGCATCGGCGCATACTCGTATATTGGCTTGAGCAGCGGGTGAAAGGCCACGACTGAAATTCCCTTTCTGTTGATAGACTTTCGAGAGGTCTCCTTTAGCTGATCCATCACAGTAAGAACACCGACAGATGTTCGGACAGACAGGCGAACATTCCCCGCCTGCAAGCACAAATCTCCGAGGAACAGTGCATTGGACACCTTCCCGCTTTGATGATTTCGCCATTTTATCCAGCGCTATCGGGTCCACGAAGTAAAGTAGTTCAAGTCAAAGTGTGTATGCCACCAACTACCATTAAGTCTAACATAAGATGATGAAGGCATTTCATGATATTTTATCAATAATGTGCATTTAACTTTCAACTTTAAAATGTGGCAAGATGCTGGTGCACTGTAAAAACCCCAATAACGTAACTGTTAACTTTGAGAATTGACCTTCTCTAGTACGCACTTGACACCGAACGACATCAACACCACAATGGAAACATACCAGTCCCTTTGGATGGCGATTAAAGATATCTTGGACTAGTTTGGTGTCAGCTACGATATCTAGCCCCATATGACCTACGCCTTGGGTGGCCTTTGCATCCGCTATCGCCATCAATGAGGTGCATTTTATAGCTGCTTGTCACAGTTATATCCAGTCGACAAGCAGACGTGCAAAGAGTATCGGAAATCAGTTGTAGAGCACAATTGTGTTGATACCATGTTGCAGTTCATTTAAATTACTGAATGAATGCGTAAGCAATTTCAAGGTCACGTGGTCAATTCCTTTTTCACTTGCATAATTGTTCTAGCTGAGACAATACTGTCCGGAATATTTGGTAACATATAACATAACAAGAATACACGATTACAGTAGCATCCAGAACCGGGATGTTTCGAGGTTAAGTTCACACCAGACATGATGCTTCTCGATCGTGCGACGGATCTTGAAGGCTCTGGCGATGGTCTGCCGCTCCCCCAGCATGGCTCCTCCCTCCGTGCCCCTCCGCCCACCCTGGAGCGCAGGTGTCTCACTCCTAAATGCCGCAGATCACGGCCGTACGTGCAACCAGTCGGTGGAGAAGCTGCTGGCCCAGGTGCAGCGCTACGCCAACGTCTCGATCCACGTGGAGACGCACCCGCACCTGACGGCGCGCACCATCGCCACCGTGCTGGGGCGCAGCGAGTCGCCGATGGGCGACCTCTGGCAGCGGTGCCGCCACCCGGGCGCCTTCCACCAGACGGCCATGGAGAGTCACATCCACCACAACTACCACTGCGAGCACCAGTGCGTGGCGTCCGCCGAGTCGCACGACCTCTGCGTCAACCGGTGGGTGCGTCGCCGCCACGGCGAGCGTGCGCCGACAGCACCAGCTCCCGTTCGACGTTGTGGTGCTGTGCTTGAGCTCCAGCTGTGTCAGCCCCCTCTCCTAGCGCGATGACGCCGCACTTGAATGAACTCTGCCTGCGTCACCCGCTCGCTGGTGGTGCAGCACGTGAGCCCCGCACGCCGCGCCCGCAGCTCGATGGTGTCGGAAGCAGACGTGGCGCTGGCCTTCTGGCTGCTGTTGGTGATCAAGTCAGCCAACACGCTGCTGGCGTCGCTGACGCTGGCGCTGCTGGAGGCGGCGGTGGGCGCGTTCCTGCGCGAGGCGGGCAGTGGGACCGAGCTGGGACGTCAGAAGACGGTTGGTCTGCTCGGCAAGGTGCTGCTGCCCATAGCTGTCGGCTTCCTGGTGGACGTGTTCAGCGATGTCGGCCGCATCCAATTCACGTGAGGCTCGGGTGGAGAGAGACTACGCTGTCCCACAGCAGATAGACAGCAGGCCCCGGCGGAGAGAGACTACGCTGTCCCACAGCAGATAGACAGCAGGCCCCGGTGGAGAGAGAGAGAGACTACGCTGTCCCACAGCAGATAGACAGCAGGCCCCGGTGGAGAGAGACTACGCTGTCCCACAGCAGATAGACAGTAGGACCGGCGGAGAGAGACTACACTGTCCCACAGCAGGCCCCGGTGGAGAGAGACTACGTTGTCCCACAGCAGGCCCCGGTGGGGAGGGACAACGCTGTCACACAGGAGGCTCCGGTGGGGAGATTCTACGCTGTCCCACATCGGACAGACAGCAGGCCCCGGTGTGTGTGTGGAGGGGGGGGGGGGGGAGAGACTACACTGTTCGAGAGCAGACAGGCAACAGATTCCGACAGATGGCAAGGGCATCAGGCCGAGAGATGACCCAGACAGAAGACCCATGCATAGCAGACACGAAAAGTAAAGACACCACAGACAGGTCGCGGCTACACCAGGCACAAAGAGCGGAGACATGCGGCCGCTACTGGAGTTGGCTAAGGCTGGCAGCATCTGATTTTCATCATTGCCGGTCATATCGGAGCCACATATGTATGTGGCGACGCGTGCAAGAGACGACACAGACGGGGTGAAGTTTGAGCAAGTCAACCAGAGATACATGCTTATGGGGGTTATAAAACCGCAATCCTGGGATACCCATGGACATTTCCGTGCAACTACCTCGGTCAAAGTAACGTCGGAAGTAACATCTCAATCTGATGCTCGAGGCATATGAGCAAGCCTCTGCCGTATTTCATCCCACACGATTTAGAGCGTGTGTGGTGGCTCCGACGACTTGTTCTCCATCATGTTTGTCTCGTCATCTTTCCAACGTGTTGAGCAGGGGTGACTATTTTCGATCCCTTGCCTGGCAGGTGTGTCTGTTTCTGACGTACTGCGCATTCGCCAGGTGTGTTCGTTTCTACGCAAGTTGCATGGCCGGCATGCGTCTGTTTCTGGCGAATTCTATGGCTGGCTGATGTCTGTTTCTAACGTACTCTATGACCGGCAAGTGTCTCTTTTTGACTTATTGACTGGCCAGCAGGCGTCTGTTCCTGGCGTCACGGTATGACCGGGGCCGTTTGTTTCTGACAGATTGTATGCCCCGCAGGCGCCTATTTCTGACGTGTTTTGTCGCCGGTAGGTGTCTTTCTGATGTATTCGACGGCCGGCTGATGTCTATTTCTGATGCGTTGTGTGGCCGGTATGTGTCGTTCTGACGTATTCGACGGCCGGTTGATGTCTATTTCTGACGTGTTGTGTGACCGGGAGGTGTCTATTTCTGACGTGTTGTGTGGCCGGTAGGTGTCTTTCTAACGTATTCGACAGTCGGCAGGTGTCGTTTTCTGACGTATTGTGTGACCGGCTGATGTCTATTTCTGACGTGTTGTGTGACCGGCAGGTGTCTATTTTTGACGTGTTGTCTGGCCGGTAGATGTCTTTCTGACGTACTCGACGGCCGGCAGGCGTCTTTTCTGACGTAATGTGTGACCGGCAGGTGTCTATTTCTGACGTACACGGTGCTGGAGTTGGTTGCGGCCGGCTTCATCTGGTTTTCATCACTGACGGTTATGTCGGAGCCACAGATCCCCGTGAAGAATGTGCTGACGATGCTGAAGAACATTGAGCTGGACGTGCTCTTGTTTACAGCCTTTGCTTGCGGTGAGAGCCACGTTAGTTTGCGGTGGGAGCCACGTTAGTTCGTGGTGAGAGTCACGTTTGCTTGCGGTGAGAGCCACGTTAGTTTGTGGTGAGAGTCACGTTAGTTTGCGGTGAGAATCACGTTAGTTTGCGGTGAGAGCCAGGTTAGTTTGTGGTGAGAGTCACGTTTGCTTCGGTAAGGGCCACGCTAGTTTACGATGGAGCCACGTTAGTTTGCGGTGAGAGCCAAGTTAGCTTGAGGTGAGAGCCACGTTAATATGCGGTGAGAGCCACGTTGGCTTGAGGCGAGAGCCACATAAACTTGCGGTGAGAGCCACGATGGCTTGCGGTAAGAGCCACGTTGGCTTGTGGTGAGAGCCACGTTAGCTTGCGGTGAGAGCCACGTTAGCTTGCGGTAAGAGCCACGTTAGCTTGCGGTGAGGATCGCGTTGGCTTGCGGTGAGAGCTACGTTAGCTTTGGAAGGCATGTACATTGCAGGAGCATGCATTTTTCCGTGTGCGTAAAACTTTTTTCCGTTTCCGTGTCAGCTCTGTCTTTGGATTTATCTCTAAGCCCCAGCCAGACAAGCATGGCTGAAATAGCCAGCCGCGGTGTCTGTCACTCTCGACATTTGACACTGACCATCCACGCGCCGCCGATCACCCAACCGACTGTTATTGACGCTGGCATCGTCAAAAGCTGGCCGTCATGACATTAAACATATGTCTTCATTACGTTTCACCGTGTTTTTGCTTTTCATCTTGCCGAATCTCTATCCATAAACATTGTTCCCTGTTGTGCTCAAGCAGTAGTGGTTCCTGACAGGTCCATTATCATCTGTTGCCGTTCTGTATCCACCTCCGGCAGCTGAGTTCTCCCGCCCCTTGGATCGGTTATTTGACGTCACCATCCCCCGTTCTACTATAACAGGTGTGTTCTCCTGGTGCTTCGACCCCTATCCACAATTACCGGCCATGGTTCTGCTCCGGAAGGTGTCTTTTCCGTTTTCCTAAACCTCTATCCACAGTCATCGTTCTCTTTCCCGTCCGACACCGGTCTTCTCCGACTACCAGGACATCTATCCAGTGCTACCTCGCCCCTATCTCGCTCCGACAGGCGCGTGCTCCAGCTTCTCAGACCTCTATCCAACGTCGCCGTCCTCTGTACTGCCCGGCAGGCGTGTTCTCCGGCTACCTGGACCACTACGCGCTGTGGCAGCTGGAGGAGCTGGGCGGCCGCATGTGGCTGCTGGCGCTGACCGTGGCCGTGGCCGCGCTCGCCGCCCTGCCGCTGGTTGTGCTGGCCGAGCCTCTGGTGCAGCGACTCGGCGCCGGTAACCTGGTGGCCGCCGGCCTGGCAGTCGTCGGCATCAAGCTCTTCGGTACGAGCCTTGCCTCTGTACTCAGTGCAGAGGCGACCTCGTAGACTTGGTTCTGCTCGCTACAGACGAGAGTTTTAAAAGCTTGGTTATGGCTTGGGTCTACGCAATGGCGATGGTTTTGCACTTTGAGGGTAGCTGGAAGTTGTCAAGCTGTTCCCAACGGTCGTGGTTGGCCTCTTTGTCAACATAGCATGGTTTGCTTTTCATGTCCGGGCTGTGCCGGCTGATGAGACTGTCTGCTGGTCTCTATTCTCTAGTGGGCAGTTTATCTGCTGGACCGCTGGATCGCGACTCGCCTCCCACTCGTTAAGCTGCTGTGACTTCTGATCAAGCTGTCTGTTGGCCACTGTTGTCTGCTGTGGGACTGCATCGCTGTGCGAGGCTCGCCGATTGTCGGGGCCCGGCGCGCCGGTGGAGTTAGCTGCCAGTCCCCGCTGGCCACTGCTGGCCGCCGCTGGCTGCCGCTGGCCACCGCCGGTCTGCAGTGTCTCCCGATCGCCAGGGTACGGTCTGCTGGTCACCCCGGAGCTGTGCCTCCTGATCGAGCTGTGCGAGCCGCTGGTCGGGCCGCTGTTCATCAGCGCCGTGCTGCGCTACAGCAGGAACATCACCAGCAAGGCCAACAGCGACACCACTGGTGTTCTGGTCGCCACCGCCCACTATGGATTCGGTACGATCCTCCGCGTGGTTGGGGAAAGACGACCGCACCACGCCGCGGTCATCCCACGCGGGCATGCGCCTCTCATGCAGCGTTCATGCGCTCAAAGGGACTTTTCAAGTGACGTGTGATCAACAGCGTCACAGACCATGTGAATATGTGAAAGTCACAGTGATTGGGGCCACACCCAAATGCGAGACGGTGTTCGTTGCTATTTAACGTTAATGGGGTCCGCCAGAGCAGGGGTCGTTTTGCGTCTGCTGGAACATGACTTGCTAATGACATGATATGCAGCGGGCGCTTTATCACCGATTCCGTTTTTTTTTAAACCGGACGGTCGTGCCGAATGACAACTTGAGGCTACGCTGTGATTTTGTGACTGGGTGCGACGGTAACCCTGAACCCACTGTCAGTTAGTGCCACTGGTCCGAAAGCCACGCCTAACACCGACTGCACCGAGCTATTGCTGGCGCCAGCCAAAAACCCGTCATATCTGACGCTCGTCGACCAGCGTCCGCGTGTCAAAGGCATGTCAGTCATGCAGAGGCAGCACCAAGGCATGGGTGTAACTGCTGGGAGAGAGAGCGAGGGGCTCGAGATGGCATGCCCCTGCCAATTTTCGCCAAGTGGGTGTTTAGCAAGCTATATTTTGCATGTAAGGTGCACATTTTTCACATTTTTCCCATGCACATAATATTTTCGGGTCAGACTGCCCTTCTAGATTCCAGTTTAAAACACGCAATCTGTTTTGTCCTCTGTAATCTCAGGGACGTAGGTAGATGGTTATACCCGTGGCACCGATTTCGCGCCAGCCATGACTAGGGAAGTCAGCGCTACCTCTGCTTCCAGGCCGAGGCATCTGCGCCGCCCTAATTGGCGGGCTCATGTTCTGCCTGGAGCTCGACTTCCCGCAGAGTGCGCAGATCCTGGGCGGCACTGCCCTGGCATCTGGCGTCATCTACTACCTCTTCTGGCACTGCTGCTTCAAATACGTCCGCCAGGTGATGCCAGGGTCGTCGGAGAGCGCGGGTAGCCAGCGCAGTCGCTGGGGCAGCGTGCGCTACCTCAGCTTTCGACGCAGCCGGATGAGGCGCGCCGCCGCGCAGACCGGGCCGGCCGACACCCGCGCCGACCTGTCCACCATCGAGGAGGACAAGAAACCGAGCCCGGTCTGACCCGGCCTGCCGAACACCAGACGCCCAGCCTGGTCTGGATGGGCGATTAAAGGAGTGGAAAGCCGGGTATGGTCTGGATTGGCGACTGCAGAGAAAGGATAAAGCTGCGTGTGGCCCGGCCTGACCACTGACGAGGATATCCATAAGCCGTAGCCGGCATAACTTGGCCACAATAGAGGCAGAAAAGAAGCCGGCGTGGTTTGACTTAGCTCCAAAGAAGACAAGGGGATCCAGGGCCCGGTCCGACCTTGCCGTTAAAGAGGACTGTAAGACGGCTTCGGCCTGAACTGACAGATTTGGGGGCGTTCGCCAGCGCATCCTGCTATGACGCAACCGTGCTGAAGACTTGCCGCTGGTGCGCGTCGGCAACACGTCTGTGTAATCACCAGGTGATAAGCAGCGGTGCACAACGTGCACGGAAAGCATCGCGTGCATTGTTTGCTAGCACTGCCATCGATGGATGGCTGTAGTTATCGGCCGGTGGTATTCGGCTGGGTGCGTGATCGCGCCGCCAGCACTGCGTGCCGAGTAATCTGTCCGGCTGCGACGTAAGGGAACGGCGACGAAGTGGTAATGGGTTGTACCTTTGTAGCAGCATATGCTTCTGCGGGCGCGGATGCAGCCACCACATACCCGCAATCAGGATGATTTCTTAGGAAGAGCATGGGCGATGGGTTTTCGTCTCTTTTTGCAAATGCGCCGAACAACAATCTTATGCCGTGCTGTAGATAGCAAGTTATCTCGTGTCTGTGCGTGTGCTTTACAACAATTGAAGACATCAATATTGATATGAAAGTGTTTCGTGTTTCCAATGCATACTGAGATCCCCTTTAAGGGCGTGTCGGATGTCGCAGTCTGTGACTGACTTTCCCTTCTGTCGCTCTGCGGTCGGATGTCACAGTTTGTGACTGACTTTCCTTTCTGTCGCTCTGCGGTCGGATGCCACTGTCTGTGACTGACTTTCCTTTCTGTCGCTCTGCGGTCGGATGTCACAGTTTGTGACTGACTTTCCCTTCTGTCGCTCTGCGGTCGGATGCCACTGTCTGTGACTGACTTTTCCTTCTGTCGCTCTGCGGTCGGATGTCACAGCTTGTGACTGACTTTCCCTTCTGCCGCTCTGCGGTCGGATGTCACTGTCTGTGACTGACTTTCCCTTCTGTCGCTCTGCGGTCGGATGTCACTGTCTGTGACTGACTTTCCCTTCTGCAAAGCAAACCGTGCAGGCATGGCGATATCGCCGTCGCTGGGCGACAATGCTGTTCAGCTTGTTTTATTTTGCGTGTTACTGTACAGTTTTTTTCCGAAATCAAGTTGCAATATACTTTGTTTTGGTGACGGTCCAACGGCAGGCTAACCCCTGCCAGGTCGGGCTGGGCCGCCACGCTCCTGACAGAGTGTGAAGAGCGATCCCCGCCGGATCGGGCCGTTCCGCCACATTCCTGACAGAGTTTGAGGAGCGATCCCGCCAGATCGGGCCGTTCCGCCACGTTCCTGACAGAGTGTGCAGAGCGATCCCTCGCCGGACCGGGCCGTTCCGCCACGCTCCCGACAGAGAATGAGGAGCGATTCCCGCCGGATCGACGCCGGGCAAGCCAGGGCAATAATGGAAAAAACAGGCAGCATGCCGACATCTTATGTACAACATTTGCGACCAGTTTCAGGTATTTTATGGAACTCGTGCAACTGACCTGTTATGTCGGGCTAAAGGAGGGCAAATCCCGCACGTGCTATCTTCCCAGAACGCCGGCGGCGGACAGGCATGCTTGTAACCCAGCGGGGGTTGAGGAGCGAGAAAGCGAGACGACTGTTGTCTGACGATACAGGGTATTCAATGACAGGTATCATTGACGACATAGGAGACAGAAGGCTGTATGTACAGCGGCAACCGATGACTGGTCAAAGGATTGAGAGAATGGTAATGATAATGGGTCTTTGTCATTGACATACGTATGCTGGTGAGGCCACTTGTAAGACATTTCGGCTTGATTAGCCAGCCAGCGAGGAGCCACATGGGCTTGTGTGAGACTTAGGTGAGGGCAAAAGACTTAGGTGAGCTTAGACAGGTTAGCGACTTTAAGTGATAGCAGGTTCTGGGTCATGGCGCCTGAGGCAAAACATCTACTGTCTAGTCATTCGTGCAGCATGCGCCTTGGTATGCTGTGGCGATGGAATTGACTTTATCGTTTCATTTTGTGATCAAATATTTCCTTCAATGAAAGGCTGAATAAGGGCAACGCAATGTACTCACAAAGTGGAGATGGAAAAGTTTAAGATGTAGAATTAGCTATCAGGGTGCGTAGGAAAGAGTGTGGGGTATTGTACAAACTGGATGATAGGCAAAGGCTCCTTCAACTTCATGAAGATATCCGCTCCAGACACACACGCAGTGGCGCAGGCAGGGGGCACGTACCCCCTGTGCCCCCTGAGGCTCCCAGGGGCCAGGAGGGCCTCTCGAAACCTATGACTATGGGACCGATTTTGGGCTCTTCGGGCCCGAAAGGCCGGTCGCAGGTTGCATTCAGGGACCCCGACTCGCAGGGTCCGGCACTCCAATGCCAGCCAGGGGGGCCTGTACGCTGATCGCAAGCCCCTGTGTCGATAAAGGCCTATATGATAGTCAGATACTACCAGTAACACACAGCCGGCCCCGTGGTGGCATGGGCCTGTGGTCCCATTTCCCAAACGGGAACAAAGCCGGAGTCTGCGATTTACATTGGTCGGGTTCGCAGCGTCTGTCGGCGCCTCACAGCTCCTAGCAGGGGCCTTGTGTTGGCAAGGATTCTCGAGTCGGCCAGAGCCAGTGTTCGAGGAGGCCCGGAGAGCCTAGACAGCCCACCAAGTACGACGATCAAGGGCCGGATAGGAGGGTCTAACGGCACGAAGGGTTTATTCAGAGGCCCCTGGCTTTAGGATGGCCCCTTACTCAATGGGCTATTTCCCGTGAAGAAATCAGAAATCTCATCATTGATGGAGTGTGTCGAAATGAGTTCAAAAACGCACAAGACCATTCCATGTTTGCCTGACGTCCATTATTTTGTAAAATTGACTAGCGAATCAAATAACATCAAAAGTCTTAAGCTTGCCGTCCCGCAGTCTCGGAAACAAGGACACGGTGGCCTGGGTTGCAGTTTCCGTAGACCGAACGGCATTGGTCTCTGCAAGTAACGCCAGGTGGCGGACACCGTGCGCGCAAGGACGACCGTCCTAAAATAGTGCTTCTGTTTGTTTTTCACAATTAATTTATACAGTTCAAAGGTTACACAGAGCGATTTTTAAATATTTTTGTGGTTGTCATCCGAACAGATTAACAGTTATAACAGCAACACGAAAAAAAGACGTTCTGCCTCTTCTCTTCCAGTTCCCCAACCAGATTCCAGCACCACTTCGCGGTGCTTCGCGTCAATCTAAAAATCGGACAGGTAAATTATACGTCAGAAATATCTTCTAAATGTGCAATGTTAAGTTCCAAAGCGTTCAAAAATACTTTTCAGATGCGTCATCATTTTTATCCACTCGCTGTCCACGGTTTGGTGTTAGCTGCGGGGCTGACGCTGCGAGGCTGATGGAGGCTGTAACGCCTGGCGTCGAGGTTTTTGTTCCTATAATGTGCCAGCACGTATCCTCAAAAGTACGTTACAGAAGTCGTATCACTTATGCATTCCGACTGAACGCTGAGCATTTCCAGACAAACATGGGTTGGCCATGCTGATACAAATTGTTGCCCCATTTTTATTTTCAGTCTACATTGTATAGTTCTTGACATCTCTGCAGCAACCAGATATATACTCTGACAAAGGTTCTGAGTTTTGTGGGTCTAAAAAGAGTCCAATGGAAACTTGTTAAATGAACAGCACTAGCAACTTATTGTCTGCATTCGTTTAACGCATGATACTGTTTTTCGTATATTGACTTAACTACAGCAGTGTTGATCCACGGTAGCTTCTGGCTTCTACTCCAGTAAATGAATGAAAGAACGAAAAATGTAAAAAAACTCGCGTTAATAAAAAAGCGATAGTTGGCAATTTTTGGGGAGGGCCTTGTACTATCAGGGAATTCTTTACCAACCCTGTACTCCCTTTGCGAAAGTTCTGGCTGCGCGCCTGCAAGCACGCGAGGCAGCGTGAAGGTAAGTTGCCCACACGGTGCCATACATTTACTGACGCATGACTGGTACTGATATAAAAGCGATTTTCTGGTGAAATTCTTCATATATTGGTACTGTGTGCGTGAAGTATCGGATACTATAAGCAGGGATGCGCTCAAGACAGAAGAGACTGGGAAAACATGCACCCGTTTTAAATTCACGTTCACGTATTCAAGCCAGCAGGCCTCGGCGAACACCGCCGCCAGTACCATGACTAAAACTCCCGGCAAGGGTGCCATCAATCAAAAGTCCGCAACTGCGCATGGGCTTTGAATACGGCCTTGGATGCCTGCGGATATCAAGCGTGAAATACGGCGGCTGCCGCTCCAACCCAGCGCCTCCGCTGCAAATTATTGTAAATCGAGTTCTAGCCGTTTGTATGTCACTTGATCAGGACTTGAGTATACTCAACACGCTTAAAAACAAACCCAGGAAGAAGCCAGCGCCGGCAAGCAGATCTGACAGAACGTGATACAATCAATGCACTGGGCCCTGATGCCATTAAGCATCAAATGTTCTGAGAAACTGCATGAAAGGCTGTCCTGCAGCGAACACTATGATGTTGTTGCCGATTGCGGCCAGGATATTCAGGTCGCTTTTGCCAGCCGGTAGCTACAGCGGGTATATTTAAGAAAACTGAAATATGATATTGCACAAATACGACAAAATGGCATACTATGACGGAAGAAGCGTCGGGTCTTTACGACATAACATCGCCAAACCTGGTTGTAAGCTGACGAACGCAGCGCCGGTCTGGTATGTGCTTTTCTACACGTAAGCGGACCGAATATCTGCCAGGCTTCGCAGCGTTCATGTCGTTTTACAGCAGTAATTCCGGTTTCACTACTCGGTCGGACACATTTGGAAACACGTCATGCTAATAACAGACATGCGGTGAGCATCTGGGACAAATGGCTCATTCTGAAAGACTTGGCGAGCTGAATGGTGACATGACATGTTTTTGTGCCAGCTGTGGGTGGCACTGCGACTGGAGAGGTACTGGACCGTGCCCCGGTCCAGTCAGCGAAGCCTCTCACTGGTGCCAAGTGTTTAGAGTAGGTTGATATAGTTAAGGGAAATGCATATGCATGCATTTGGCCAGCTTCCAAAGGATTGCGTGCGAATTACGCTAATTGCGTAATGTTAAACACTTTTGCATTGTCCTGGATGAGCATCGATCTCCAAGCAGCTTTTTGCTCGAAATTTCAGTTTTCTCGCCTGACGTCACCAATCCGCCGCCCAGGTGGCGAGTTCAGGTGGGAGACGTGCAGCGTCGACGCGCGTGAACACGTGTGCCACTGGTGCAACGTGGCGTCAAAACTGGGCGCGCTCGGCGTTTGGGCGATGCTTCTGGACCTGTGCATGGCACCAATACCGGTCCCACTAATTGCCTTGCTATGGTTTTAAAGAAGTACCAAAAAACAGGCAAATATTGATCTAAAACATGTTTGGAAACATGAGCTCTCTGGCTTTTTATGTATGACCCGATTCCGTGCTTCCAAATGCGCGTTGTATTATATTGTAAAAATTACATATATACATATATGCATATGCACATCGTAAATTCCCACCAGCTTGATCTCGTTAAGGGGAGTGGTTAAAATTGCGACGCCAAGTATCCAGAAACCCGTTTTCGATGTTTGTGTGATGGTATCGGTACATTTCCAATGTCACTTACAGAACCTGCTGATGCATCGTCGACAATAACGACAACGAATTGAAGGTCAGCCATACCTTGCCAGCTGAAAATAAAAAAGCGTTAACTGCCAAATATGCTTGGTGCTCTACCACATCATCGTGACTAATTTAATGAAAATCTCGACGTTTCCGCGAGCCTGCAGATGAAAGCAAACGGAGGGGTGTACGAAACCATACCACAGCTCGACGCGTTTCAAATACAAGCCTGTTAGGTCATATTTCTTTCATACACGGTTTAAATGTGTAAATAGTTGATCATCGACACAAGTCACTAATCGTCACCTCGGCACACCATCAAAAGGCTCGGTGCAAATAAAGCTGACCCATTGTCCGAACAGAACCAGTTTCGTTCAACGGAGTGCGGGCCTGTTCGGCTGTTCTGCAGAGTCTGTTGTGGCCGCAGCGTGATCCGGATGGGCAGTGACGGCTGGTCGGCCTGGTACCTGCCCCGCCCTAACTCGTTGGCAGCTGCCGCCCACCCGTGTTGAT